GTGAGTAATTAATGACTTAATTTTCATTTTTGGGTGAACTAACCCTTTAAAAGCTGGATTTCACCACAGGGGGACTTTAAACATTCTAGAATTTGCACACTTTTCAGTATTTCTGAATCTCTTTTTTCCATGAATATAAACTATGATGCAAATCTTTTATTAATTAAATGAGTTTTTATTTTTCATTTGATTGATGCTAATACCCAAAACTGCATTTCTCATCATAAAACAAGCATTTTAGTGTCATTTCGTATGAAATTGTACTAAGAAAAAATAGAAAAAAACTAAGACCGTCAAGCAGATCGTACGAAAAAGTTTATGAGATTGTATGAATTTCATCTGAATTAGCCACCAACTCAGCGAACCGCTCAACAATCACGAGATCTGGTTGTAAATGTGCTGCTTCTCTCTCTATCAAACAACTCTGAGACGTTCAAGCTGTAGCGTCTTGAATTGCAAGTCGTAACAAAGATATCCAGAAAAATGTTTAGGCAGAAAGAGGGGGGTCATGTGACGCTGGAAAGAGATACGCGTTCCCTAATAGTGGGGGTGAACGATAACCAACAGCTGCAACAATCCAAAGAAGAAGAAGAAGAAGAAGACGTATCAGTGTGTCACACTGCCAGCTTGAGCCTCCACACACTCCTGTTGATCACCTGTGGAGCTGCCGGGACAGTCAGCACACTGAGGTTCAGCTCATCACGGACAGGTTGGTTAGGTGTAATTGCAGGGTGTGTGTGTGTCTCTGTTGGTGGCGGAGGAGTCTGTCTGTCCGCTCACTGAATGTGTGGCAAGCCCTGGCACGCTTTCTCATGAGGCTCACACAGAGAGTTTCAGGTGAAACACTGTCCTGTGAAGCCCAACACTATCTGAAATGAACATGTGTAAGCGCTTTGGATAGAAGTGTCTGCTAAATAATTAAACGTAGATGATCAAAGCATGTGCATGCATCTGTAAAGTGGGGTAACCCGCATACAAGTATTTCCACATATGAATAGGGCTGCAACAAACGATTATTTTGATAATCGATTAATCTGACGATTATTGGAACGATTAATCGACTAATCGCACATTATTTCGCCGGCTAATCGGTAAGTTTGGAACGATTATTCAGCTTTTTCAGTTAGTTAAAACGCTGAGTTATACATATTCTTACAAATCGCGATATTGCATGCCCTTACATTAGGTCAAGTGAGATCAAAGGACTACTCGACAACAAAGATATTTGTCGACAATTTTTTATTGTCGACAATGTCGACTAATCGTTTCAGCCCTACATATAAATGTATAGTTTGGTTGATAATCTGATGAAAGAACATGGACTATCATATAGAGCATTTATTTACATTCCCAGTCAAATGTTTGGAATATTTAAAATGCGTTCATGTTTTTAAAAAGAAGTCTCTTCTACTCAGCAAGGCTGCCTTTATATTATTTACGGCTGTCAAACCATTAATCGCGATTAATCGCGATTGATTGATTTATTGTTACAAAAATTTTTAACAATATTTCACAATATTACTGTTCTTACTGTATATAATATTAGGGCTGTTTAATCAATGATTAATCACGATTAATCGCATCCAAAATAAAAGTTTGTGTTTACATAATATATGTGAGTGCACGGAGTATAATTATTTCATATATATATATATATATACACACACATGCTTGTATATATTTAAGAAATATTTTCATGTATATAGTATATACTATATAGATTTATATTTATATATATATATATATATATATATATATATATATTACATATAAATAATATTTTTTTTTAAATATACATGCAAGTGTGGGTATTTATATATATATATATATATATAGAATAATTATACACAGTGCACCCACATATATTATGCAAACACAAACTTTTATTTTTAGATGCGATTAATCGTGATTAATCGTTGATTAAAGAGCCCCAATATTATTACATATACAGTAAAAACAGTAATATTGTGAAATATTGTTACAATTTTAATCAGCTGTTCTCTATCCACAAGTTTCCTACGCCCCATGAGGCCTTGCGTCAAAAGTGGGCGCGACTTCCGGTTGGAAGTAAACAAGGGCGACTTGACATGCTTGACACTCGTTCATTCAACAGTTGACAGTCATTCAAGTTATAGCGATCCAAACTAGCTAACGATGTGGGAACACAACCTCAACGAAATTAAAAAGGGTGAAATAACAGTACCTTTACCCTCCGCAGTCATTGATTGGGAGTATTTTAATAACATTATTAATTATCAATACTCATCAAGGCATGGCGACAGACGGTTGTGCGAGCTGACAAACAATTCAAATAAAAAAATATACACTTAGTCATTGCGCTTTGGAGTTTATTCAAAATTATAAATGAATGTGCTACTTGAATACATTACTGGCACATTTGGTATTCTGTCAACACAGGCTTTGATCCTGAGTTTAGGTGTAACATTAGTAGCGAACAGCCAATCACATGCTGATAGAGTTTATAAAATATAAAGAATTAAAAAAAAATGTACACAGGAAGATTCGTCGTCTTTTGGGAGGTGATGGAAACTAACGTTACAGTCGTTGGCAGGATCAGAGACGGGCTCTGGCAGGATCACTCGTTTTCAGCTTATGTTTAAAACAATCACGTTTAAGCCACTGAACTAGTTTAGTCCGGTTATACATACAACCGCGAACAGCACATGTTGTCCCTGAGCTCCATAACGACATCTCTTATAAAGATTTGCGTCTTTAAATAGTAAAATAATTCTCCGAAAAACAGCTAGCCTCTTCGCTAACTAACACACAAAATACCATTGGAATGCTACTTCCGCCGCGTCACCGGAAGTTTCACCCACTTTATTTTTTACAGGAGCGCCCCTCGGAAACTTGTGGATAGTAAAGTATGATTTATTCCTGTGATCCAAGCACTGATTATTCTCATATTTTTGTGGAAACCGTGATACATTTTTTCAGGATTCGTTGATGAATAGAAAGTTGAAAAGAATATTAATTTGAAATAGAATTAGTTTGAAACGTTAGTGTCACTCTTGATCAACTTAATGCATTCTTGATGCAATTCTTTTTTACTTTTTTCTAATCTTTAAACTGTCACGGTTTCCACAAAAATATGAAGCAGCAGCACAACTGTTTTCAACACTAATATGTTTCTTGAGCAAGAATGAATCATATTAGAGTGATTTGTAAAGGATCATGTGACACTGAAGACTGAAGTAATCAGTGCTTTGATCACAGGAATAAATGACACTTTACAATATATTCACATAGAAAACAGTTATATTAAATAGTAATAATATTTTACAATATTACTCTATTTGTAATCAAATAAATGCAGCCTTGCTGAGCAGAAGTTTCTTCCAAAAACGTTTAAAAAAAAACATAATTATCCCAAACTTTTGACCGGTTTTGTAAATAAGCCCCAAAATGGCTTACACACAGCAATGAAAAACGCTAAATGCGAATAATACAGTATTAACCATATAGGCTAATCAGGAATATCAAAATAAATAAGCTAATCAACTTTTAAATAATTTGTGTCCAATCAGTCACTTGGTAACACGGCTAAAACTCAGCCCAGTGTTTGTTTATGTAAATCTGCTGTTATTTATGCATAAATTGCCAATATTCCTCTTCAGCATGTTATATTATTTTGGGGGCAGTTAATGCACGTCTTGTTTTTATTTTGCCACACTGTTTCCAGTGTAAAATCCGGATCCTAAGGCCAAAGCAATGGAGAAGCACTGATTTAACAGCCATGTTTATCCACAAACGTGACCAATACAACACAGAAACAGACGAACACTAACTAGTTGCAGGACAGAGGAGGCTAACTAATTGTTTTAGTATGTAGGTGGGAATTGATGTTGCTCTCTAGTGTCAGCAAATTAGATTTGGACGCATTAAAGCGGTGTGTTTGTCTCCTGAACACAGGGTGTGATCCTGGGGGGCGAGACTGAGTTAATCTCAGCTATAGCGAACCCACAGTCGACGTCCCACCGGGTGACTGAATCAGATAAGACCAGTGTCCCCAGGGCCACAGAAGAATAGCTGTCTCATTCCTGAAGAGACGCAAGTCAAAACACACATTTACATTGAGACACACTGAGATATGCTAAACACATCCTTATCAAGGTGAGAAAGAGCCTTGATCATAGGCTTGCAGCGTGAAGCATGCGTTACACACGACAGTTTGAGCAGGACCGGGTGTTTTTGTCTTTCTGATCCACGCCCAGATACCGTTTTGTGTGTCTCAGACCCACGCCTTCTGCATTAGTCTGTTCACAGGTCAAAATGAAAGCTTAATCGTGACTGCAGTGATTTCACCAGTGTGAACGCCGTGCACTGATTCGGATCAGAAACCGGTTTAGAGATCACAACCTACTGCCCCTTTAAAAAACACAGTGATGATGTTTCAAGATGAATCATCAACAACAAATACAGTACATAAAGTGAAATTAAGCAATTTTATAAATAAGCCAAGTAAATGAAGTATATTATACACACTTCATTTACTTGGTTTATTTCTAAAAAAAAGCAATTTAATGCCTGAACGCCTGTTTTAAACAGTTAAACCCAACAGTTATGTTTATTCATATCCATAACCTATGTAAATAAAGCAATTTTATAAATAAACCAAGAAAATGAAGTGTATATTACCGTACACTAAAAATGACGGGTTGTTTCAACGGTCAAATATGGACGCCTGAATTTTAACATGTTTTAAACCAAACAGTTCAATTTATCCATATTAGACCATTGAAACAACATTTTTTTTTTATTTATACCTAAATTTGGCACTTTTATACAATTTCTTCATTTCACTTTATTTTTGAGTTTAGTCTAAGAGACGTCATTACTGTTTTTGTTGTTGTTGTTTTTCCATGAAGTATGAGTTGAAACAACTATTTTTTAGAGTGTAACTGATTTATGTGTCAGTTAATGTAAACTGTGTGTGCTGGAATCTCGTGAGAGCCGTGAATAATTAATATGGCACTCACTTGAGAAAGTACTTCTGTCCATTGGGGGTGTAGGCCATCTCCCAGCCCGGGGGTAGCGGCAGCTCCTCGGCCACGTCGAAGGACTGGTGTCGGATGTGCGAGTGGTGCCGAGCGGGGTTCGGGACGCCCAGCGCGCCCGCGGGCAGCTGCAGCGACGCCGGGGAGGAGTGCGAGCGGACGTGCGTCGCCTGGAGCCGCGGGGGGAGGCCGCCCGAGTCCGTGCTGGACTGCCGAGAGTGCGAGCCCGAGTCCGGCTCCTTGAAGAACGACTCGGGCAGATGCTTGTTCCTCCAGGAGCTGCTGGGCTTGGGGTTCATGACGGAGTTGAAGAGAGCCTCCAGGTCCGTGTCAAGGTCTTTGGCGACATGGATGACCTGCTGGCCCGGTAACGGCTGGAGAGGGTTGCCGCTCATCGTGTGTCAGACAATAACAAACAAGCCCAAGTATTCGAGGAAAAAATGGCCTGCGAAAATCCTGTAGGAACTTCTTTGGTTAGGCCTGTTCCTTCTTTCTTTTCTTTTCTTTTCTTTCTTTGGTAAAAGTTGTTTCTGACGACTTTAAAAGCTTTTAAAAGTCTTTAAAAAGTTGTCATACAGCTAAAGGAGTGTGTGTCATGTTGTCCCGCATTGAGTGTTTTTTTTCCCGGAGATTATTCCTTCTGCGCTCCGTAACTTTCCTGCGTCCGCTGGCAAAGTTTCTGTCCCGATGGAAAGTTTGTAAACTCAATCTCTCTCTCTCTCTCTCTCTCTCTCTCTCTCTCTCTCTCTCTCTCTCTCTGCGCGAATCCTGTGTCAGCTCATGAATATTCAACAACTCTGCGCCTCATGAATATTTAATTATCACTGTTTCGCGTTCGTAACAGCAACAATGGATTATGGAATTAACAACTTTTAAAGTGTATTGTTGCTGTAATGATATTTGAAACCAGCCTTTTTATTTATTAATTAATTTATTTTTACTACAACAACAACAACAAAAAAAAAGAAAAGGATCTGACATAATTAGGCCTATCTATTTTATTGTAATGCATTAAATGAGTTTATAATTTCAGTTTACTGTTTTACTACTATGTTATATTAAAAATATAAATATATGTATTAATATTATTATGTTACATATTAATGATACATTTTAATTCAACTTTAAACACGACTGTAAATAATACATGTAATTTGAAAAGTTCAAAGCTATTTAAAATTAAACAAAACACTTAACATTTTTATCCATAATTCCCAAATTTATCATAGGATGTATTAAATATTGTAATTTATTGATGTATGTTATTTAATCTATCCTTAAATCATTTGTGTTATTGTATTAAATTGCAAGTGTTTTTTTAATGAGTGAATAAAATAAATATTATGCCTTGGTAAAAAAAAAATATGCCTTGGCAACTAATAATAAAGTTAAAGTGCTCAAGTTACAAAAACTGAAATAAAAATAAATCTAATAAAAAATGACTAAAGAACATAAATTAAAACATAATAAAATGAGAAAAAAGCAACAATTATAATGTAGAATTTAGAAATAATTTGTTCAATAAACTTTAATATTTTTCTACAAATTATTTAGAAATAATTTGTTGTTGTACTTTTACTGTTTATTAGTAATAAAAATAAATCAATTGCATTTTCACATGTAATGTTTTAAATAATGTAATAACTAATGTGATATTATTTCACAGCAAAGGATGAAGACTAAAGAAGATTCATATTTCACAGTATTTTGAGCATGGAGTCGCATGAGTGCAGTAGAGGGATGTGGTCATTCGCAGATTGCAGGCTAAAACATAAATGGGGGTCAAATGGGTTGTGAAGCCATTCATCAGGTCAACTTGACACACACACACATACCTCGTCCTCATGAGACCCAGTATAATGGGTTAATGTGGGCCTGTCAGGCTCACTGAGCGAGAGCAACAGTTGTGTTGAGCTAGTGTGAGGTCTGATCTCTGCTCCCATGGGAAGCACACCTGTCCCGAGCAGAGCGGAGCAAACATCTCTAAATGTCAAGGAGCTGTGTATGAGAATCTTCATATTAATCCCTTTTTTATTGCATATGTGTGACCTGTTCATAATGAAACTTTAAAAATGAGAGGTTCCCTGACACAGTGAGTCTCTGAAAGCCTGTAGTCTGATTCTCTGGGTGTGTGAAGGACTCGGATATATCACAAAACTCTGACTTTATATCTCACAATTATTCTGACTTTATATCTCAAAATTATTCTGACTTTTATATCTCACAATTATTCTGACTTTATATCTCACAATTATTCTGACTTTATATCTCACAATTCTGACTTTATATCTCATAATTATTCTGACTTTATATCTCGCAATTCTGACTTTATATCTCGCAATCCTGACTTTATATCTAGCAATTCTGACTTTATATCTCACAATTCTGACTATATCTCGGAATTCTGTCTTTGTATCTCAAAATTATTCTGACTTTTTATCTCAAAATTATTCTGACTATATATCTCACAATTATTCTGACTTATCTCATAATTATTCTGATTTTATATCCCGCAATTATTCTGACTTTATATCTCAGAATTATTCTGACTTTATATATCAAAATTATTCTGACTTTATATCTCACAATTATTCAGACTTTATATCTCACAATTATTTTGACTTTATATCTTGCAATTCTGACTTTATATCTCACAATTATTCAGACTTTGTATCTCAAAATTACTCTGACTTTATATCTCACAATTATTCAGACTTTATATCTCAAAATTATTCTGACTTAATATCCCAGAAATATTCTGACTTTATATCTCAAAATTATTCTGACTTTCTATCTCAAAATTATTCTGACTTTATATCTCACAATTATTTTGACTTTATATCTCACAATTATTCTGACTTTATATCTCGCAATTATTCTGACTTTGTATCTCGCAATTATTCAGACTTTATATCTCGCAATTATTCAGACTTTATATCTCACAATTATTTTGACTTTATATCTCACAATTATTTTGACTTTATATCTCGCAATTAGTCTGACTTTGTATCTCGCAATTATTCTGTCTATATCTCACAATTATTCTGACTTTATATCTCAAAATTATTCTGACTTTATATCTCACAATTATTTTGACTTTATATCTCACAATTATTCTGACTTTATATCTCGCAATTATTCTGACTTTGTATCTCGCAATTATTCAGACTTTATATCTCACAATTATTCTGACTTTATATCTCACAATTATTCTGACTTTGTCTCGCAATTCTGACTTTGTATCTCGCAATTCTGACTTTGTATCTCGCAATTCTGACTTTATATCTTGCAATTCTGACTTTATATCTCACAATTATTCTGACTTTATATCTCGCAATTCTGACTTTATCTCGCAATCCTGACTTTATATCTCGCAATTATTCATCTCGCAATTCTGTCTTTGTATCTCGAAATTATTCTGACTTTATATCTTACAATTATTCTGACTTTATATCTCACAATTATTCTGACTTTATATCTCATAATTATTCTGACTTTATACCTCGCAATTCTGACTTTATATCTCATAATTATTCTGACTTTATATCTCACAATTCTGTCTTTGTATCTCGAATTTATTCTGACTTTATATATTACAATTATTCGGACTTTATATCTCACAATTATTCTGACTATATCTCGCAATTCTGTCTTTGTATCTCGAAATTATTCTGACTTTATATCTCACAATTATTCTGACTTTATATCTCACAATTATTCTGACTTTATATCTCATAATTATTCTGACTTTATATCTCGCAATTCTGACTTTATATCTCATAATTATACTGACTTTATATCTCGCAATTCTGTCTTTGTATCTCGAATTTATTCTGACTTTATATATTACAATTATTCTGACTTTATATCTCACAATTATTCTGACTATATCTCGCAATTCTGTCTTTGTATCTCGAAATTATTCTGACTTTATATCTCACAATTATTCTGACTTTATATCTCACAACTATTCTGACTTTATCTCACAATTCTGACTTTATAACACGCAATTCTGACTTTACTTTGGCTGTGTGTTTCAGGTCATGGTCATGCTGGAAGACCCAGCCTCGACCCATCTTCAATGCTCTTACTGAGGGAAGGAGGTTGTTGGCCAAGATCTCGCGATACATGGTCCCATCCATCACCCCCTCAATACGGTGCAGTCGTCCTGTCTCCTTTGCAGAAAAGCATCCCCACCTCCATGCTCCACAGTTGGGATGGTGTTCTTGGGGTTGTACTCATTCTTCTTCTTCCTCCAAACACGGCGAGTAGAGTTTAGACCAAAAAGACCAAATTTTTCTCCCATCAGACCACATGACCTGCTCCCATTCCTTCTCTGGATCATCCAGATGGTCACTGGGACACTTCAGATGGGCCTGGGCTTCAGCAGGGGGACCTTGCGTGCGCTGCAGGATTTGAATCTGTGACGGCGTAGTGTGTTACTAATGGTTTCTGTGAGATTGCTGTCCCAGCTCTCTTCAGGTCATTGACCAGGTCCTGCAGTGTAGTTTTGGGCTGACCCCTCACCTTCTTCATGATCACTGATGCCCCACGAGGAGAGATCTTGCATGGAGCCCCAGACCGAGCGTCATCTTGAACTTCTTCCATTTTGTAATGATTGCGTCAACTGTTGATGCCTTCTCAGCTGCTTGCCTTGTGCAGGTCCACAATTCAATCTGATGTCCTCACTCAGCTCTCTGGTCTTGGCCATTGTGGAGAGGTTGGAGTCTGTTTGACTGAGTGTGTGGACAGGTATCTTTTATACAAGTTCAAACAGGTGCAGTTAAAGGGGACAACAGGAAGTCTTCTTAAAGAGAAACTAACAGGTCTGTGCGGAAAGCCGGAAATGATCAAATAATTATGTCACACACTAAAATACAAATGAATTACTTGAAAGTCATACAATGTGATTTTCTGGATTTTTGTTTTAGATTCCGTTAGTCACAGTTGAAGAGTACCTATGATAAACATGACAGACTTCTGCATGCTTTGTAAGTGGGAAAACAAATACTTCAAAATACTGCAAACGTATCAAATACTTGTTCTCCCCACTGTAGAGCCGCTTTAAACGTTCATGCATTTGCATGTACAATTTTCCACTCATTTGCATTATACAGTTTTAACATAAACTGATAAACTTAATGTAATGAATATTTGTCAGTCTGAAAGAATTAAGATTTCTCTATACACTCAATGTGTTTTAGATACACAATAACCAGTTTATCTATACAATTTATCTACTTACAAAGTACATCATTATATTGGATTTTTGAATAAATTATGCATTTATATTAAAAAAATATTTATTTAAACATGATGTACAAGAGGATAAAATGTTAAGTGTTAAGTCACTCCAGTTTTGTTCACTGTTAATGTTGTTAGTTTAAATGTTTAAATAAAAAGTGCAAATTGCTGCTGATTTTATTTGTTTGCTTGGTGAAATGAGGTCAGTGTGTGCATCTGTTCTTTTTGAACATTTCCAGCACATTTGGACAATTCCATGATTGATCACCTATAATCGTGATATGAAATGTTCATACCGCTTCATCTGATGAATTATGACAAGCTTATGGCGTTTATATGGCATTTGTAAAATTGTAGACTGGGTGTACTGCTATATTTATGCTGTTCTTAAATATAATAATATATAAAAATATAAAATATATTGTATAAAATAATATAAAATATTATATAAAATATTATAAATATAAAAATGTG